TTTATATTCTTACATATTCTGCATTTAAATGCTTGTCAATCATATGTGTCGAGAATATCTTCTCCCTGTGGACGGTTTTGTTTTCCCCACTTTTATGGTGACATCTAAACAACACTGAGTTTTCCGATCCAGAAATAAGGTATGTCTCTGCCATTAGTCATATTTTCTTTAATGTTTTTGGTAAAGTCTTATCATTTTCTCTTATGAAATTTTTCTCATATTTTTTGTTTGTGTATTCCTACTTAAATTATTTTCTTGAACTATACAGATTTTTTCTTTTGTATTCTCACATTAGTTTTTGTACATTAAAAATATATCCCTTCCCTTCTTCTAAGTAACCTTTTTTTTTTCTTTATATTTGGACAAACCTACTACTAGCCAGCCACCATTTTAGTGGACACATGATAATCTCAAGAATATATTAAGTCTTCAGACTCTGAACTAGCCCTGTATCATGTTTCCTGCCTAGTCTCTTTCAAGTTGCTTTCTGAACATGTGTGCGTCTAATCATGTGCATGTATTTGCGTACATATTTATATATGTGTAGGTACAGTGACAGAGTGAGTGTGACAAGGATGGATGCACGCAGGAGGCTCAAAAATGAGCAGAAAGAAATACATAGATGAAAGCAGATCAGAGGAAGAGAATTCAGTGGAAATATATGTGCAAAGATGGCTATGGAATGTGAGGATACTAAATAATATTACTAATATTATTAATATTAATATGATTAATACTAATTATAATAATAGTTACTTACTGAGAAGCTATCCTGTACACTGTGCTCAGTGTTTGACAGGTGTTAGTGATTTCACACCACTGACCCAAAAAAGTTACTGCTATTTTCTCTATTTCATAGCTGACACAACTGTGGCCTCCACTGGGCTGAATAATCTAAGACCATCCAGCAAGTCAGCAGCAAGCTGGGAGTTGAGTCCTGCCTGTGTGCCTCGAGGCCCTGGCTCCTTCCACTTGGCTGTGCAGATGTTCGGTGATCTGGGCATTAAGCAACATCAGTAGGCACATACAGAGGCCTGGACATGTGTGTTCATGTTCATTGTAATGTTCACTATAACAAAAAACAATCTCATCATATAGGTAGATGGCTGACTATGTTTCATCTGCACATTGACTATGGAATATAATGCTGTACTTAAAAAGAATGGGTAGGTCAACAGGTACTGCCTTGAAAAATCCTCAACCACACTAGTCAGAGACAGAAAGCATTTACAGAGTAACAGAATGATTATGTTACCCAGTTATTATTAAAATACAGAAAACACTTCATGGAGTCTACAAGTGTATTATTCCTGTATAAAAATTCATCAAGCTGAACATTCGGAATGTGTGAAATTGGCTATATGCAAAATAAACCTAAATTTAAAAATAGATTGTGTCTTATATTTTCATGTGTATATGAAAATACACAGAAACTGGCCTGGGACACTATGTGCTCGATTTTTGGCATTGGGTACCTTGGGGAAAGGGAGAGAACTCTGCTTTTTCCTCTACATACTTCTGTGTTGTGTGAATATTTTAGAAAGGAGAATGCATCAGTTGGCTACCTAATAAATACACACACACACACACACACACACACACACACACACACACACACACACACCATGCTTTTAATTAAGTCAATAATAAATTACATAAAATGATTAGTCAGTTAATAGATACAAAAATTAATAGACCACAAATACACTTTGGAAGAAAAGCAGCTGCTGAGGGGCCCATGTAGAGACAGACGCATCTTCTCCTGTCTGGGAAGAGCTTGACATTCAGTCACCAGTTAACTTCTGTGAGAGGTTTCCCTACCACCCTAATCACCACTGGCCTGAGGGCGGCATGTGGAGGTGAGATATGAGCACCTCAGCCCTGCAAGATGCCTGGTCCCACCCCAGGGCGCTGGAGCCTGTAGGGGGCTCAGCAGGAGCTTGAAGGAGACACCTCACTAGGGGACAGGGCAGCTGCTGGAGATGACCTGAGTACTGGTACTAATTAAAAAGCAATTGAATAATGAGAAATCAGAATTCAATGATCTACTACCATTTCCTACCAAACTGGTGAGGATTTGTGTCCTGGCTCTACACCACAGTGGCATGGGCTGAGAGGCAAGGAGGAGAGGGGGAGCTAGGCAAGTCAGCAGAAGGCAGAGGAGGCAGAGCTTTGCCAGACACACTAAGGAATTTGCCAGGAGAACGAGGGCAAGCTGGTAACAAGCACAGCCGGCCAGGAAGTGTGTGGAGCGGCCAGGAGGCCAGGGCATCATCCAGGCCAACTATGTTGGTGCTAGAACAGTCCAACAGCAGTGGGGGAGGAGACTCATGGGGTTAGAGGGGTGCTGAGGGAGATGTGACAGCCCTCCAAGATCGGTTGCACGTACCCTGAAAGGGAGGGTGAGGCAGCACAGGCCTGTATCAGCTAGGGGTTATAGAATGAGGAACACATTGTTGAAATTAGAGCTTATACAGTTTGTGGGGAGCTGGGCAATGAACACCTGGGAAGGGCAGTTAGAGGACCAGAGGAGCCCCCAGCCAGCTGGTCTGGGAAGCCCAGGATGTCCAGCCACTGAAGGGGGCTCACAGGGGAGGCTGACGCAGGAGTCTTGAGGAAACATCTGCCTTTATGGCTCCAAAGGCAGGCCTGCTGGCAGAGCCGGGCTGCTGCTGGTCAGCAGGGCCTGCAGTCTGCAGGAAGAGCTGGAGGCAAAGAGGAGGTGTGAGGACATGAGGACGCGGCAGCCTGCCAGGCCCCTTCCCAAAGTGGGTAGGCAAGGCCCTCTCATTGACCAGGACTCACTAAACCAAGCAGCATTCAAGGTAGCGCCCCCAGACCCCTTTCTTGGCCAGCTCTAACCTGGGACCACCCAGGGGAAGAGATTCTGGGAAACATGGTCTCCCACCTGAACAAGCTAACGGTGGGAGAAGGTTCTGGAGGAAAGGCAGTGAGTTCCATTCCAGGCATGGTCACTCCGAGTTGACTGTGAGACATCCCCATGGAGATGTCCAGCAGGCAGGTGGGCCGGTCCAGACTCCTTCACTGTGCAAACAAGTCGTTTCAGGACTAGTTCTAATCCAGCCTGGGGTGAGAGTGGCATGTAGCTGTGGCTAAGGGCTGAGGAACTATAAACACTGGCCAGGAGTGAAGGCTGGCTAACAAAATGACAGTCCCAGCAAGGTAACTTTCAGGCAGTGACTTGGGGCAGTGAGCTCGATGGGGCAGGCTATACAGGGCAGGGAGAGCAGATGGGCTGAGAGGGACGGCAGCTGGTCTGCCCTGGTGATAGCCTTCTGGAATCACTCTTTGGAATGAACTATAACTTAGAAGAAAAAATTCACTTGATTGTCACACCTCTTTTTTTTTAAATCCTATTATGTGGGCCTAAGACAGAGTGTCTTTAATGAATGACTCTCCTCTCAGAAATTTCAAAGACAAGTTTGTTTCTCAATACAGTTTATGACCTTATTGCTTCACAGTCCTTCCGAATCATAAAGTGAGTTCAGAATGAGGTTTCAGGTGACGTAGTCAACATTCCACACAGACAGGCCGACCACCGGATCACTGGAACACTCTCCTCTGCCATTACTACCGTCTCCCCCACCTCTTCTGCTACCACCTACCACCCTACCACTACCCAAGTGGAAGGAACTGAGTCTGGGGAAACATGGTAAAGAGAGGGCAAAAGAAGGTAACAATTCCAAAGGCACATGGACATTAACGGGGTGCTCAGGTGCATTTCCTTCATTTTTATTTGATAGCACGTGTGTCATCAGTGGGCAACTGTACCTGCAGTATTTTATTTCCTCCACTTTCTTCATTTCCGAATGAAATCCTGGCTTCCTGGTAGAGTATGTCCGTGGAGGAGTGTTATATTCCTCTGACTACTTTGTAAAAAAGAGGGCTTATTCTCTATATTCACATCCCTCTCTCTACTCTCATTCTGCTATATTTTCATGACAGTACTTATCTTTACTGAGTACTATGTTTATGTGGTTCTTTACTGTGTGCTTTGGTATTCCAATATAAGCTTCATCACAGACCATCCTGTTTTGTTCGCTGCTGTATCCCCAGCAAATAAAACAGCACTTAGCACATTCCCTCCAGTCTCTGTTGGATGAATGAATGAACAGATGAATGACATTACTTTCTAAGAAAGGTTCCATTATGGCTGTCCCCTGTATACAGAAAAATAAAGTTCTGATATAAGGGATTGCCTCTTGGCCAGATCATAGTACTTGTGTGCCTTATATATAGTCCTAATAGGTCCTCAAGTCTCAGAAAAACTGTATCCTTTACATGAATATTACCAAATAATAGCAATTAAAAATATATTTGCTAGACATTTTGGTCAGAAGAGCTTGAGCTTTGCCAGTATCTGTTTATTGCGCCTACTTCCTGCCTGCTGGTGCACTGCCTCTGCTGGGTCCTCTTCTTCCTTCTGCCTGCTAACTGGTCATTCTCTTGGATTTGCCTTGGGCCGCTTGCTGATAGCTCCCAACTGTGAGGTTTCCCAGGCAGCTTCTCAGGTCTCAGGATGCCATTCTTAGGTAGATGAAGGGTGAGGTCCCGGTCGGGCCCTGTAATGGTACTTTGTCTGTGGATCCATCCGACCTGTGTACACTTTTGTGTGCACATATTTATGGCACTGCAAACTCCTCCTCTCATACCTTCAGGGGCAGCACACAAGCCTTATACATCTGTGCCTCTTCAGTACCAGGCCCAGTAGCTGGCTTATTGTAGGTATTGAAGAAGTGAGTGGATGTGGATCAAATTTGTTGATGAAACTGTAGTATTTATGAGTGAAATTGATATAATTTAGGGGTTTGCTTTAAAATACTCCAGTTAAAAATAAATGAAATAAAGTGGCTGAGGACACAGATGAAACAAGGTTGAAAAAAACGTTGATAATGGTTGAAGCTGGCAATGGGCATATGGTGCCGTTTGGGGGGGCTCATTCTTCTCTTCCGTTTTTGTGTTTTAAAATTTTTCCATTAAAAAGAGGAACAAAAATGTGTTGGTGAGGCAAGCCAGCAAGGGTTGCTAATAGGCTATTGGATCTAGAAGCATTTAGGAAGTGGAAATTTGTAAGTAAAATTTTACTATAGCGATGAGTAGCTATTTGTTCGTAGCTATCTAGCTGAATTAGTGGAGCTTTTGTCTAATTTCATCCAGACATGCCAGGGGTCAATTGCCAGTTTGCTGAATACTTGCTATGTGTTTTTTGGGGAATCATGTAAAGATGCATCAGAATAGTCAATTCTAGGCCTATATGAAATCCGAGGAGCCAAAACAAATTGCAAAGATAAGGGCTTGCTTGAAGAAGTTTTCATTGCATCATTCCCAGCATATAAGTATCTTTCATCCTGTTTGCAGAATGTTTTTGGAATCAAGGGAATGAAATATGAGAAAATCAACGTTTGATTCAAATGAGGAACTCCCACTTACAGTGAAAAGGAAGGATTTTAGAAGAAAGAGATCATCAAGAGACTTGGAAGACCATGATGAGCAGAACGCTGATCAAACGGTCACATTTCCCTGCTCCCTATGCAACCATGAAATTCATGTACCTGGAAGTTTCTTCCATAAAAAACAAGATGCAGCTCTGGCCACACTGGGTTTTCAGTGGATGGATGAAAAGAAACCAGGGCCTTCAGTGATCACTATGCAGAGACAGCTTATAATTACTAAACTATTGTCATCTTCTACATTCACTGAAAAAACCCTACAGAGTGTTAATAATGCTTTTGAGCTACTTTGGAAGAAACAAATGCCTGCATATGATAAGATCATTGATAACATTCACAGGAATACCCTATATTATCAAAAAACCTGCCACCTCTTAATTAAAGGAATAGCCATTTGTGAAGACAGGAATTCTACATGGAGAACTGCCATGAATGATAAATTCACTGTAGTGAATAATTTTGGCAAAAAACCCAATGTGTGTTTTTTGGGTTTGTTTGATGGACATCATGGTGCCTCAGCAGCCACCTTGACTTCAACAGAGCTCCCAGTCTTACTTCTGCATCAGCTTTCCAGATTTGATCCTTCCTACCAGATGACCCCTGAAGAGCACAAAGTAATCAATTCCTTCCACACAGTGTTTAGGGAAGACTACATAGCTACAGAAGACCTCTTTTCCTCCATAAACAAAAGGACAGAAGAATTGAAGTGTGAGTATGAGGATATACACAAAGCCTTTGCAAAAGCATTCTGGAGAATGGATAGGCTTCTACGTCTTGGAAGGAAGGAAGTATCCAGGGTCCGATGGAGTGGCTGTTCCGCAGTTACTTGCCTACTGGAAGGCAGCATCAAAAGTCCCTTTGCTAAGAACTGGAGAAGAATCAATGACCATAACTGCTTGGCAGAGAGGTTCCCTTGCCAGATTTCTGGAATACTACACATTGCAAACACTGGTATGTTTACTGAATGACACTACATCACACCTTTTCTTATTCCTGGCAGCAAAACCTCTCATGCTTCCAGAATTAGTGAGACATTATTTAGTGACTTATTAATGCTCAGAAATTTCACTAACCCATTTAAGGAATGATCAATAGCCACAGTTTAAATGCAAATTGTATATACACACAAAAATTGTAGTTATTTTTCAAGGAGACACATATATTAAATAAGGTGACCAAAACATTAAATTTCCTAAGTGGGGTAGCAATACCATTATTGATAAAGGGAAAGCAAATATATTACATGTGTGTACAGCTCAATAGAACTGTGGCCTCCACTGGGCTGAATAATCTAAGACCATCCAGCAAGTCAGCAGCAAGCTGGGAGTTGAGTCCTGCCTGTGTGCCTCGAGGCCCTGGCTCCTTCCACTTGGCTGTGCAGATGTTCGGTGATCTGGGCATTAAGCAACATCAGTAGGCACATACAGAGGCCTGGACATGTGTGTTCATGTTCATTGTAATGTTCACTATAACAAAAAACAATCTCATCATATAGGTAGATGGCTGACTATGTTTCATCTGCACATTGACTATGGAATATAATGCTGTACTTAAAAAGAATGGGTAGGTCAACAGGTACTGCCTTGAAAAATCCTCAACCACACTAGTCAGAGACAGAAAGCATTTACAGAGTAACAGAATGATTATGTTACCCAGTTATTATTAAAATACAGAAAACACTTCATGGAGTCTACAAGTGTATTATTCCTGTATAAAAATTCATCAAGCTGAACATTCGGAATGTGTGAAATTGGCTATATGCAAAATAAACCTAAATTTAAAAATAGATTGTGTCTTATATTTTCATGTGTATATGAAAATACACAGAAACTGGCCTGGGACACTATGTGCTCGATTTTTGGCATTGGGTACCTTGGGGAAAGGGAGAGAACTCTGCTTTTTCCTCTACATACTTCTGTGTTGTGTGAATATTTTAGAAAGGAGAATGCATCAGTTGGCTACCTAATAAATACACACACACACACACACACACACACACACACACACACACACACACACACCATGCTTTTAATTAAGTCAATAATAAATTACATAAAATGATTAGTCAGTTAATAGATACAAAAATTAATAGACCACAAATACACTTTGGAAGAAAAGCAGCTGCTGAGGGGCCCATGTAGAGACAGACGCATCTTCTCCTGTCTGGGAAGAGCTTGACATTCAGTCACCAGTTAACTTCTGTGAGAGGTTTCCCTACCACCCTAATCACCACTGGCCTGAGGGCGGCATGTGGAGGTGAGATATGAGCACCTCAGCCCTGCAAGATGCCTGGTCCCACCCCAGGGCGCTGGAGCCTGTAGGGGGCTCAGCAGGAGCTTGAAGGAGACACCTCACTAGGGGACAGGGCAGCTGCTGGAGATGACCTGAGTACTGGTACTAATTAAAAAGCAATTGAATAATGAGAAATCAGAATTCAATGATCTACTACCATTTCCTACCAAACTGGTGAGGATTTGTGTCCTGGCTCTACACCACAGTGGCATGGGCTGAGAGGCAAGGAGGAGAGGGGGAGCTAGGCAAGTCAGCAGAAGGCAGAGGAGGCAGAGCTTTGCCAGACACACTAAGGAATTTGCCAGGAGAACGAGGGCAAGCTGGTAACAAGCACAGCCGGCCAGGAAGTGTGTGGAGCGGCCAGGAGGCCAGGGCATCATCCAGGCCAACTATGTTGGTGCTAGAACAGTCCAACAGCAGTGGGGGAGGAGACTCATGGGGTTAGAGGGGTGCTGAGGGAGATGTGACAGCCCTCCAAGATCGGTTGCACGTACCCTGAAAGGGAGGGTGAGGCAGCACAGGCCTGTATCAGCTAGGGGTTATAGAATGAGGAACACATTGTTGAAATTAGAGCTTATACAGTTTGTGGGGAGCTGGGCAATGAACACCTGGGAAGGGCAGTTAGAGGACCAGAGGAGCCCCCAGCCAGCTGGTCTGGGAAGCCCAGGATGTCCAGCCACTGAAGGGGGCTCACAGGGGAGGCTGACGCAGGAGTCTTGAGGAAACATCTGCCTTTATGGCTCCAAAGGCAGGCCTGCTGGCAGAGCCGGGCTGCTGCTGGTCAGCAGGGCCTGCAGTCTGCAGGAAGAGCTGGAGGCAAAGAGGAGGTGTGAGGACATGAGGACGCGGCAGCCTGCCAGGCCCCTTCCCAAAGTGGGTAGGCAAGGCCCTCTCATTGACCAGGACTCACTAAACCAAGCAGCATTCAAGGTAGCGCCCCCAGACCCCTTTCTTGGCCAGCTCTAACCTGGGACCACCCAGGGGAAGAGATTCTGGGAAACATGGTCTCCCACCTGAACAAGCTAACGGTGGGAGAAGGTTCTGGAGGAAAGGCAGTGAGTTCCATTCCAGGCATGGTCACTCCGAGTTGACTGTGAGACATCCCCATGGAGATGTCCAGCAGGCAGGTGGGCCGGTCCAGACTCCTTCACTGTGCAAACAAGTCGTTTCAGGACTAGTTCTAATCCAGCCTGGGGTGAGAGTGGCATGTAGCTGTGGCTAAGGGCTGAGGAACTATAAACACTGGCCAGGAGTGAAGGCTGGCTAACAAAATGACAGTCCCAGCAAGGTAACTTTCAGGCAGTGACTTGGGGCAGTGAGCTCGATGGGGCAGGCTATACAGGGCAGGGAGAGCAGATGGGCTGAGAGGGACGGCAGCTGGTCTGCCCTGGTGATAGCCTTCTGGAATCACTCTTTGGAATGAACTATAACTTAGAAGAAAAAATTCACTTGATTGTCACACCTCTTTTTTTTTAAATCCTATTATGTGGGCCTAAGACAGAGTGTCTTTAATGAATGACTCTCCTCTCAGAAATTTCAAAGACAAGTTTGTTTCTCAATACAGTTTATGACCTTATTGCTTCACAGTCCTTCCGAATCATAAAGTGAGTTCAGAATGAGGTTTCAGGTGACGTAGTCAACATTCCACACAGACAGGCCGACCACCGGATCACTGGAACACTCTCCTCTGCCATTACTACCGTCTCCCCCACCTCTTCTGCTACCACCTACCACCCTACCACTACCCAAGTGGAAGGAACTGAGTCTGGGGAAACATGGTAAAGAGAGGGCAAAAGAAGGTAACAATTCCAAAGGCACATGGACATTAACGGGGTGCTCAGGTGCATTTCCTTCATTTTTATTTGATAGCACGTGTGTCATCAGTGGGCAACTGTACCTGCAGTATTTTATTTCCTCCACTTTCTTCATTTCCGAATGAAATCCTGGCTTCCTGGTAGAGTATGTCCGTGGAGGAGTGTTATATTCCTCTGACTACTTTGTAAAAAAGAGGGCTTATTCTCTATATTCACATCCCTCTCTCTACTCTCATTCTGCTATATTTTCATGACAGTACTTATCTTTACTGAGTACTATGTTTATGTGGTTCTTTACTGTGTGCTTTGGTATTCCAATATAAGCTTCATCACAGACCATCCTGTTTTGTTCGCTGCTGTATCCCCAGCAAATAAAACAGCACTTAGCACATTCCCTCCAGTCTCTGTTGGATGAATGAATGAACAGATGAATGACATTACTTTCTAAGAAAGGTTCCATTATGGCTGTCCCCTGTATACAGAAAAATAAAGTTCTGATATAAGGGATTGCCTCTTGGCCAGATCATAGTACTTGTGTGCCTTATATATAGTCCTAATAGGTCCTCAAGTCTCAGAAAAACTGTATCCTTTACATGAATATTACCAAATAATAGCAATTAAAAATATATTTGCTAGACATTTTGGTCAGAAGAGCTTGAGCTTTGCCAGTATCTGTTTATTGCGCCTACTTCCTGCCTGCTGGTGCACTGCCTCTGCTGGGTCCTCTTCTTCCTTCTGCCTGCTAACTGGTCATTCTCTTGGATTTGCCTTGGGCCGCTTGCTGATAGCTCCCAACTGTGAGGTTTCCCAGGCAGCTTCTCAGGTCTCAGGATGCCATTCTTAGGTAGATGAAGGGTGAGGTCCCGGTCGGGCCCTGTAATGGTACTTTGTCTGTGGATCCATCCGACCTGTGTACACTTTTGTGTGCACATATTTATGGCACTGCAAACTCCTCCTCTCATACCTTCAGGGGCAGCACACAAGCCTTATACATCTGTGCCTCTTCAGTACCAGGCCCAGTAGCTGGCTTATTGTAGGTATTGAAGAAGTGAGTGGATGTGGATCAAATTTGTTGATGAAACTGTAGTATTTATGAGTGAAATTGATATAATTTAGGGGTTTGCTTTAAAATACTCCAGTTAAAAATAAATGAAATAAAGTGGCTGAGGACACAGATGAAACAAGGTTGAAAAAAACGTTGATAATGGTTGAAGCTGGCAATGGGCATATGGTGCCGTTTGGGGGGGCTCATTCTTCTCTTCCGTTTTTGTGTTTTAAAATTTTTCCATTAAAAAGAGGAACAAAAATGTGTTGGTGAGGCAAGCCAGCAAGGGTTGCTAATAGGCTATTGGATCTAGAAGCATTTAGGAAGTGGAAATTTGTAAGTAAAATTTTACTATAGCGATGAGTAGCTATTTGTTCGTAGCTATCTAGCTGAATTAGTGGAGCTTTTGTCTAATTTCATCCAGACATGCCAGGGGTCAATTGCCAGTTTGCTGAATACTTGCTATGTGTTTTTTGGGGAATCATGTAAAGATGCATCAGAATAGTCAATTCTAGGCCTATATGAAATCCGAGGAGCCAAAACAAATTGCAAAGATAAGGGCTTGCTTGAAGAAGTTTTCATTGCATCATTCCCAGCATATAAGTATCTTTCATCCTGTTTGCAGAATGTTTTTGGAATCAAGGGAATGAAATATGAGAAAATCAACGTTTGATTCAAATGAGGAACTCCCACTTACAGTGAAAAGGAAGGATTTTAGAAGAAAGAGATCATCAAGAGACTTGGAAGACCATGATGAGCAGAACGCTGATCAAACGGTCACATTTCCCTGCTCCCTATGCAACCATGAAATTCATGT